TATATAATAATAATAATAATAATAATAATAATAATAATAATATATATATATATATATATATATATATATATATATATATATATATATATATATATATATATATATGTATATATGTTTGTGTATGTATGCGCATGTCACCATATTTTATTGTGTATATAATGTCGCAGTTTGAATCTGTCGTGTCAACCGTTTTGATTTAGGTCATTGGGTAGTAATAGCATCAATGTCATCAGTGTCATACGTAAATATTTTAGTGAAAATGATTGAAATGAAGGAAGTAACAGTTTGCGCCAGCATTCATTCTTTCCTTATCGTTTCTAAGTCAATAACCCCCCTTTACTATCCCAATTTTATTCACTCCTTCTATTAATCGCACCCATATCGACCTTCTTGGTAACCTTCAAAATGAACAAAAACTTTTGCATACAAAAGAATGAATGCCTTTTGAAAAAGTACAATAATGAGGTACTGATAAATTTTGACATTTCTGATAAAAATATCGAAGGTATATTGATGTTGTGATCAGATCAGCGATCTTATGAACAGATCAATGATGAATATTTTAAACATTTTTGAAATTTTTGAGGGTATCTAAAATCTATTTATAATTATTTCGAGAATTTTAAAACAATTTAACTTAAAAAAGTTTCTAAACAACTTCAAAACAAACGATTATTTTGATTGATCAAAATGAGTTAAGCATCCCATTTAATTTTAGTTTCTCAAACGCTGCTTAAATACCTTCTCGCCTACTTCAAATTTACTCAGGTAGAATTGGTTAGTGTGTTTGAAGCATCAAGTAATTTACCTTATTGTATCTTACCTGTTAACTATCTGTTGAAAAGGAACAATAAATTTCCCCGAAATTTGTCATCTTCCATGATTTTTTTCTTTTTTTTTGAAGTTTGAAACTATTGTATAAATTTATCAATTTGTTCCAATGAATTTGCGAACTAATTGACCGGGCATAACATTCTTTTCTATTAGATGAATTAATTCTGTCACCTACATTTTTTTTATGACTTCTAAAAAAAAATCCCAAATTTTTATGAGAATTGGATTAATTCATAGTTGTTGGAGAAATTATCATTTGATTGACATCGTGAGAATAATTCATTTTCATTAAAAAAAATATTTTTAGAATGTATTCAAATAGATTAATAATTAAAGTTAATCAAGCAAAAAAAAAAGAGATAAAAGTCTTTGTGTGTCCTTCCCTTTGGTCATCTTGTCGAAAAAGATTTTCATCTAATAAGAATATTCAGTCAGTCTCATTAACTTTTAAATCATTTCTTCTCTTCCAGAAGGACAGAAGGATGATTTCACTTCATCTCTTTGGTCATTGCTAGGTGGTCACAATAAAATTATTTCAGATGACGAATGTTTTCCTGAAATTTTATGGGTGGAAAAAATGAGAAGAATTCTAAAAATTGTATTTTTTTGCTTAGGTTTAGAATTAGCGAAAGTATATTTTGCGAAAAAAAAATGATATAAATATGATCAATAAAATGAGCTTAAATAAATGTGACATCGAAATACCAAAGGGAAATGATAAAGGAAGGAATAGGGTTCGATGATAAGGTAGGAGAAAAGTGGGCAAATAGGACAAGTTTTAAAAGGATGGATGGGTTAAAATTGATGAAAAAAATGGAAGAAGATAGATGAAACAGAAGAAATGATAAGCAAACTGGAGGGAATGTATGCTGGGGTAGGAATGAAAATAAACAGTATTTCATGGGACAAAAAAGTATGCTGATAATTGGGTCAATAAAATTTAAAAAGAGAAAAAAGCCTTCCCATTCCTCTTTCTTACCGTAATCGAAGTTAATCACAAATTGACAAAAATAAGGGATTAAAATGGTATCTTTGAAAGGCCAAATTTCATCTAAAATGCTCCTATTAATTACTGAAACATCAAAGAATGGACAAAGCTAAACTGGAACAGAAAAGGAACAGTCACATCAAACTGATAAAAATGACCACTTATCCAATTAACTGGTAAAATGGCCATTTAACGATATATTGTTTGGATACTATTTTTATTCTTTAACCACTTTAGGATCAACGTCCATTAACGTCCACTCACTGATTTATGTCATGCTAAGATGAAGATTATAATTAAATAGCAAATGTTTGAGCATACATCAACCATTTGAAGATGTCAAGAAGTTCGGATTTAGATTATTAATATTTGATTAAAGATTCATTTGACAAATAAATTTGTGCCAAAGAATTTAAGTCCAATCAGATCTCGTATTTTTGACTTTCCTTTCATTTATGTAAATTTGACATATTTATTGCCACTTTATTGTCATACGAGATGAGCAGTATGATAATTGAACAGCTTGAGGAATGTATCGCACGGTTGTTTTGTCATTTCTTTTGCAACTATTGTTATGGAAGCAGTTACATTTATGTCATGCGGCAAAAACTGCTAAATCAAATGTTGTACAGTATGCCCCAAAAGGTTGGCATCATCATCAGTTACTTAAGACAATAATTGCTAGCTAACTATTTCAATTAAAATGATCTTAAAGCAATACCGTAATTGTCGGGATTTTTTTTTTCTGATTTCCAACATCAGTAATTGAATATTACAACTATTATTGATTTTTTTTTGATTGATTTTCATTTTGTTTCTCAATTGATCTCTTGATTGATTGCTTTCTTTTTTTCTTGATTGATTTCCTTCAGATCAAATTACGTATTTAATGATAATCTATGATTGTAAATAATTTAAGGTCCTTAAAGAGCATAATGATAAACATAACGATAATTGATCGGATATTTTTGTTTTAGGAATATTTGCAGTACCACTTTGCTGTGAAGAACCGTGGGATTTTGATGGAGATGCAGGACGATGTATGCTAGATATGGTATATACTTTCCCTTTTGGTAGGTCAGTATCGCGGGATGGGAATTAGAATTGGTGGTAATTTATTTGCATTCGAATTACTCTAATTAATTAAGATGGCACAAGGTGTAAGAGATAAGGATATGGCTTTGCTATGTACAGCTGTTGGTTTTGAACTTGATGACAAAATATGTATCAGATATGTTCGGTTATGTATGCTATTTCTATTATTCGTTATTATTTTAATGAATATTGTTTCGTTAAATGAACGAAAGAGTTTATGTTGATAACTAAGTAATTCAAATTGGCGGAAATTAGTTAGTCAATTAACCATTTCGTATCATTTTTATGGAATAACCTTACAAATTTATCCATTTGATGGTACTTTTCAGCATATAGATACGAGATATCGACTGATGATTAAAAAGTTTTCAATTTAACAATGAAATGAATTCCGCTCATATTATTATGTCTGGCAACTTGAATTTTTATCACAGACTTAATTCAATCTGATAATTTTATTCCTTACTGATATGGTTGTTTGATAATTTCATTCGTAATGAATAAACTAATCATAATTCACTGATTTTAATTTTTACTACTTTTAGTATTAAACATAAATAGTTAAACCAGTGGCAATTTTTTTATTTTTTACCACCTGCTATATCTTGCTGAAAGCTGAACTTCCCTTAGATGTGTTCACTTTTTAGTGTATCAGTGATCTTTCAAAAGTTAGAAACTAAAGAATAAGAAAATTAAAATTTTAGAATTAAAGAAAAAACCACAGAATGATAACTTTGTAACCAAATCCCACCAATTCATAAAGTTCCGAATTCAAATTAAGAAACGATAACCCAATATAACCATATTTGTTGAAGTGATTTTGCTACTGATAGGGTCAATAGGATCAACAATCAGGTGAATAGTCATGACTAAATATTTGACCTTTGAAAGTAACTTTCACTTATTACAATAACATATACAAAAATCTATTTATTCATATCAATGTATGGTTAAAATTCGTATTTTGTCTAAGTTTTTGAAAAAATTTTTCTGATTTGTACGCAAATTTTCACGGCATTTCTTCAGGAAAAAAAATGCTTTAATTACTTTAATCATTTCTAGAAATTGTGATGAGATAGCCTTTTAAGAATGTTAACGATTGGTTTAACTCAGATTTGAATTCTTTGGAACTTGCAGTGTAATTAATCACTTGACTAATGATCTGTGATACATGACCGATTGTTTGGTGGTAAATTTCCGGCCTCGAATCCGGAAGTATTCCTGTAAAAAGTTGAGCAATGTCATTCTTTCCATTCTAATTCACGATCAACTCATTCATTTTTACAAAAATAATTTACCTGACTATAATAGCAGATAATAGGGACAAATGAATCTTGGTCGGAAACGATATTTCGGATATCCAGGCTTCGATGATTCCACTGATGTAATGATGATTATGTGATATCCTAATCGTTTCCATTTTGATGACTTCACCTGATAAGGTGATTTACAAATTCGGGCAAATTTCCTGCAACATACTGTTACCCATCATTGATCAAAACATCGATTACTTGTGTATTATTACGTGATATTTGTAATAATTACATGAAAATAGATTATAGAACCCAATCTCAAACATATGGCATTTCAATTTTCATTTCTGATTTACAATCAGTATGTTGATTTTCAGTGGTAAAGTATAAATTTAAAAGATATGTATTTGATTTGAGTTAATCTAATAGAAACAAATAATGCCAACTAGGTTCTAATTAGTAACAATGCCAATTAGGTTTTAATTAATCTTACCAATCCTGCTTACATTTTCCACATCTAGTGTTGGTAATTGAACTGATGAAAGTTTGAGTGTGTTATTAATGATATCGTTATGTTAGTCTATGGAAGTTGTTGGCGAAATTATAAAAGTATTAAAAATATTGCCTAATATTACCCAAGAAATATTATCTAATTGGGAGGATAACCTCCCGATATCAATTGTCGGAAAAGCTAATCTCGTTGAACTCGTTTCTTAGTGATATGGATTTATTCGGGATGTAATATTGTTCTTGCACAATATCACTAGTTAACAACAAAAAAAGGTATTAAAAGTATTATATACATATATATATAATAAATTGGTAAGCAGTGATGAGTTATACAAAAAACAAGTTCCTTGTCG